TCCACCCAAATCTCGTTAGAGTATATCCTCAAAATAGCAGGCAGAGTAACTCCTTAAAATATAAGTATAATCATGTCACTCTTCTGCTCAAACCTCTACAATGGCTACCTGCTCATTCAGATCAAAAGCCAGAGCCCTTAAGATGACTTATCAGTCCATGCCATTGGGGCCCTTTGTTCATTCGGCTCTATCACACTGGTCTTTTCACCTGTCCTCAAGCACGTCAGGCACATTTCTGCCTCAGAATCTTTGCAGGTGCTGTTCCCCCTGCCTAAACTCTCCACTCCCATATGTCCACATAGCTCCCCATCTTACTTCCTTTAAGTCTAGGCTCAGATGATGCTTTCTCTGCAAGGTCTATCCTGACCACCCTACTTATAATTCTAATGTCAACTTCCTATCCCACCCACTCAGGCATTTCTGATTCCTTCCTATCCCACTCTACATGGGTTTTCCAAAAACACTTATCACCTTTTCACAAACTATTTCCTTCACACATTTATTTTATTTATTGTCCATCTCCTCCACTAGAATATAAATTCCATAAAAGCAGGGCTTTTTATTCATTGTTGCATCTCCAGTACCTAAAAAATTGCCTGATTATAGTAGGTTACTTAAAAGTAGTTGTTCAGTGAATAAATGAGAAGACCTTAGGTTATAAAGGAGAAGGCAGGACAAAATGGGAAATGCGTTTAGTGACTTTAGGTAGTAGAGACATTTCTGGGGCCAAGTGGCTCCCAAGGCAAGTTTTATTTTCTATTAAAGCTTAGTTCAAAACCAAACTTTGCCAGCAATTCTCTGTATGGTTCTCTTTTATGTAATTTGAAAATATTACGTTTAATGGCTTACTTCTTTTGGAGCACTTTACCAACACATCTCTCCACTAGCAGGCCATCATTTATCTAAGACAGATACCTTAATGCCCGTGAATTAGTAATTCCTTAACAATATCTCCTTTACCAATGCATTTTGAGGGGTGATTAGCAATCCAGATCTACTGGTTCCATTCTGGACTGGGAAAATGAGAGTGAGGTTTCAGTGATTTTGTTCAGACTAAGTGCTACCCGATTTGCCTAAAAGCAACAGGGATGGAGGGAGGGTGGGGATGGGAGGGAAGCATTTTGTATGGAAATTCTTACTTCCTGAAAGACATAAGTACGTACCTATGTCAAGGACAACAGAAGAATGCTGATATTCTACCCACTGACTGAATCTTGATACTCAGTAGGCTTTTCAGTTGTCCTTCGAGAAGACATTCCTTGACTTAAGGAACTGAGATGCTACTAGCAAGTCAATTTGAACATAAAATCTGTTGAGTAAAAAACCAAATGGGTAAATAGGGAATGCAGAGGATATAAGCCCTGATTTCAGGTCTGTTTCACTAAAGTTAAATAAAAAGGTTCCCCGATGCGGGCACAGGTTGATCAACTAGCAGAGCTTTCATATCCCTGAATACTTCTTAACTTCTTTGGGCCTCAGTTTTCTTAACTGTAAATTGAAGTCCCTAACCCAAGTTATCTCTAACTTCCCAAAAGTTGGGAGGCAAGTAACTTCATTACACTTAACTGGGTTCTTTAACAATTCCTTTAAAACTAAAGAATCTGTCTTCTGTTCAAATACTTTAGGGCACTACCAGCAACTTTTCTGTTGACCACTCGTGCCCTCTAGTGATAAACTTAATTATACAACAGAATTGGCTAGGGAAACAGTCTGTTCCAGAGGAGTAAATGGGGCAAACAGCAAAAACGCAGTAGATAAAATCAATGTAAAGCAAAAGAGGCAGGCCAAAGATGTAGGCAGGCCAAAGATGTAGGTAAAAAAAAGATGGAAAGAAACCAAATGGCCATCACTTTCTGCAGTGTGCCTATGACTGCGCCTTCCAGAACACTGTAAAGAAATTACCTCTAGTAATTACCACTAACTAGTAAAGAAAACAAACATGCTCCTGAATATAAAAGTTTTTTCGGGTATGACTGGAACTTTTCTTTCTCATATTAAGATCTAGATACAGTTTCTTTTTCACTTAGCAAGATAAAAGATATATTAAGACTTCTGGAAAATATCTATTACATACCTAATGTGGATAATTAACAGATGTGCTTTGAATGCACCTGTCAAGGAGGTGCTAAGACAACAAATTATATATTCATTGCCAGTCTCACCTGTTCATGGATTTACCAATGGGAATGGGTTCTGACTAAAATCATGTAGTATGTTGGGCTTAAGCAAAGTCCCCAGCCTTCTAAGTATCATTCTTTGGTGTCACCACCATAGAAATGCACAACTGGTCTTTCTCCTATCACATAATTGAAAACAAACATCAGGGCCTTTCCTGGCAATAAATCATATCTGTATATAAATGCTGATAACATTTTTCTAACACAGGTGCACAAAAAGAAGAAATGGATTTCAGTGATACCAAACAGAGATTTAAGTTAAACAATAGAGAGGTCTTCTTAACCATGCTATTGTTACTGATATAAGGGCAAGAGGTTAAAGAATCTTCTTTTGAAATCTTTTAAGAGGAGGAAACAAAATCTGTACTTATTTGGAGTCATTTTAATTCTAACCTTAACTGGGACATAAGATAGGAATAATAACCACTGAAGTTTCCTTTCTGCTCTTAAAATGAAATATGACTGTATGCTTCATATATATGAAGTTCAAGAACAGGCAATATTAATCCATAGTGACAGAAATCAGAAGAGTGGTTGTCTCTTGGGACAGGGAAGGGGGCATGAGGGAACTTTTCAAGGTGATGGAAAAATTTTGTATTTTGAGTGGTGTTTACACTGGTGTATACAGTTGTCAAAACTCATCAGATAATATACTTAAGATCCGTGCAGTTTGTTGCTTGTAAATTTTATCTCAAAAAAATATATATGCCAGAGTCTTGGGAAGAGTTAACTTTAAAAATACCACCACTACTCTTTAAGAACAGGCTCAGAAAGAGAAGGGAACTGTCATGACCGCAATAGCATATATAGTCTTACTGAACCAAAAACCAAGAAAAGAAAACTGCCCTGGCTTCTCAGCAGTATCCATGATCATTAGCTAACAGTGCCAATTCAACGGAATGCCCCCTCCTCTGGCTGGCCCAATTCTGCCGCCTGATGGAAGGACATGGAGGTGGGGGAGAAAGACTGGTCCTAAGAGATTACTGATTGTCTTGAAGTAGAACTGCAGCTTACATGGCCAGGCATGTTGCTCTGCAGGTCCATATGATGATAACGGCATCATGCCTGCTAGTGTTAGAAGACAGTACTTGGGAGAAAAACAGGTAAGTGTTTTTGGCTTTTTGTTTTCTCTCTTCAGTTAAACTACCTTCTAGAGATAACAGACTGTTCATTCTTCTATTAAGATTCACGTTGGAGTCTGCTTGACACACGGTAGACACTAACAGATGCCTCAAGCAGTTGGATGAGTGAAATGTTTTTCAGTCTGACAAATGACTTTCTCGTCAAACCTATTGAATCTGCTCTTCCTCACCAGAAAAGAATCAGAAAATCTTTTCTGTAATTTTCATTCCATTTCATTCAAGTCCTAAGATGAAATTCTCTGGGACGCACTGCATCAGGAACATCTTAGCTTTCCTTACCTGGTGCCCTATGTTAGGATTTTCCCATGGCAAGTGGTTTGGAAAGGTGGAGACACAGATTTTCACCGACAAAAGACATTGTCACGACAAAGCCATCCTTGTTGTCATTCCCTTTACAGATTTAATGGCCTCTATAACTCTCTAGGGATTGTAGTCCATTTCAGTGCTCTGAATCTATTATTCAGATTCTCTCTTTAGATATCTTATAATTCCCCAAAGCAACCTTCCTACATTCACTCTTTGTCTCCAAAAGCCTTTCCCAGCCCACTGAAGAACGGAAGAGTTGCTGTTATTTATGCACGTGCATGAACCTCTTTGTGGTATTTCCACTTGACATGGCTCATCTTTGTGAAGTCACCTAGCTTCAACCAATAGTAGGCAGTTCTCACCTATGTCACCACTAGTCATCTTGGCATTGCTTTTTGGAAGGCCCTACTGATTGCTTTGGATCTTGAATAAAATACAGGCAGGTCAATGACATAATAGAGTATTTCTATTTCCTCTGCTAAGAACAAGTTAGTTGTTGATTTTCAGTATGGTTTATCAAATACACTCTTTTTTTTTAAGTAGGCACCACGCTGGGTGTGAAGCCCAGTTAAGATTCTCTCTCCCTTGTGTTCTGCCCTGCCCCTACCTCTTAAAAAAAAAAAAAAGAGTCGGAGGCTTAACCAACGGAGCCACCCAGGCGCCTCTCAAATATATTCTGAAAACCTACTTTCAACTAACTGCAGGATACAAAAAGTCCATCTTTTGTACATAATTTCCAGTAGAGATGTACATGTAGTCTCAATTCATGTAGTCAAAACCAAATTCCTTCCTTCCTGAAAAATAGTACTGATAAGGAAACCACTAACTTTCTGTCATGTTTGAGTGGCTTTCAGGAACCTGGAGTGTCAGGAAAGCTGGGCCCAGGTCATCCACTGCAGAGAAAAGTTGATGCCAGGCCTGAGTTGTGTAAGAGTCAAGGGTTTAACCTTATTTCAAAGTCAAATATGTGACTTTTGGATTGTGTGATGTTTACATTCTTCACATTTATGTTCCTTTCTCTATATAAGTATAGACCCATAAAAGAAATAGTATCACTCTTCACTTTTCTTCCAAAGATTTCAAAGTACTTTCTACAATCCAATAACGTACTCACAAGAGAGAAAAAGCAGATAGACAGATCCTAGAACTGTGTTAGGGATCAGCAGAAGGCATAGAGAAGTGCAGGAAACTTGCTCAAGAGCATCTGAAGACAATGTACCACCAACTAACACCTGCCACATCTCTCAGAGCAATGTCTATCTCCAAACTCTCCCTCAACTCAAATCTACATAGGGCCTGCTCTTTTCTATTGAAATTGTATGCACACGAGAAAGGCTGAACCAAGAGGGACATACCTCACTGGCTTGCCACTTACCAGTGCTGCTTTTACCTCTTCAGAGACGTCAGTTTCATCTTCCTGAAAAGGAAGAAGAAAAACAAGAGGACCATAGTCACAGACATCCTTGAAAGCAACAAGGTCAGCTCCCATCAATTATGCATCTTGGCATTTCAAACATAGGCAGTGAGAACTGACTGCCAAGTGATGCTCTGTTACTGCCTTTTAACAGCCGCCATAGGCAGACGGCTCAGAAACACTTCCTGTCATCAAAAACGTCAAATAAACCATAGCAGGAAAAGGGGTATCTTTAGAAAGGACAGACTTTATTCCACCTCTGTCAACAGTTATTGTCTGTCAATAGTCTATTTGGTCCTATAAAAATGAGATACTTTTATCTTAAAGAATAGTTTCTAATAGATGACTATTACTGTTTCATTCCTTGTCTCACTGAATGGTTCATCCAGTTTGCAGATGAGTCACTGGTAACCAGGGACCTCTTGATTCTTGGTCACTTGATTTTTAAAATGCCAACGACAAAAGTTGAGTGACAGCGGTATAGAACCGGAGGGTGAATTAAAGTACTGAATGTGTGCTTGCACTTAGTAAGCCCTAGTGCACCTGTCTTTATCTTAAAGCCAAAGTTAATCTGTTGTTTTTTTTTTTTCTTTTTTCCTCTAAAAGAGTAAAGTTGAGTCAGATGAACTTATATCACTAAGATTTTAGGTTCCTTGAAATTCTTGTAACACTCCTAAAATATTTCGTTAGAATCTCTGCTTATATGTGATAATACTATTGACTAACTACATGACTTTCTGGGAATATTAGGGAGAACTGAGTGCCTACTACATGCCTGGCACTGTTCTAGGTACTGGGCGTCTGGCCAAGGATATACCAAAGGAGTCCCACACTAGGTAGGTCGTCTTCTCTTTCCTCAGTAATATTTCTTGATAATCTGCAAGATTCAGCAGACCAGGTGGAACCCTTTCTTTTTTCTGAACTCAGCAGAAAGGACGGCAGCCGTGGGTGATGTGATATGTCCCAGCACGGACCAATCCACTTACATCCTTTGTCCAGAAATTGATGCCTGTTCCTCGTCGTCGTTCCTTGGGCCGCCTCCTCTCACGGATGGACAGTCTAGTAGAGGACTGATCATCCACATCTGCTTCTTCACTCTCTGGCCAGAGAGAAAACAAAGTGTGATCTTAGGAAATGGGGGCATGTACACGACGGGGGGACGCCACCTATTCTGAAGCTGTACATACCATTCTTGTCCATTTCCTTTGCAACTGCGGCGTTTGTGGTGGTCTCTGGACTCTCAGAGTCAGGGACTGAAGATCTGCTTGTCCGTAGCAGATGGGAACTGGTGTAGAGAGAGGATCTTGATGCAGAAGGAGACACTGGCGTTGTGGGTTTGTCTGGCTGAACTGGATACCTCAGGCGACGATAGACAGGCTGGAAATAATCCATAGGGTGAGATGTTAGAGGTCAAGTCCAACCAAAGGATAAGGATAGCAGGCTTATTAAAAATTATTAAAATTTTCCTATACCAAGAGGCTTATTAATAGTTGATGCTCAATAAATAGCTACTGAGCTGAACTAAAGTTAGTTAGTTAATTAGCCAGAAAGGAAACAGCTTCTGGATTCCTATTCTGATAATACCATCAGGTTGACAGCAGCCCAGGAAAATTTTTCCTAAATTGACCAAAGGGCACTAGGTAGCACTAACCTTGTTAATAAAAATTCCTTTGATTTTGGAATGAAAATAAGAAGGGTGATGGCCTTTTTAAGATGGAACACTGAAAGGCAAGATTTACATAGAAAAATAAAAAGCTTGGGAATATGAAGAAACAATACAGAGTTATCTGAGAACAGAGGCCAAATCTGAGCAATCAACCAATTTCTGAATATTCTACCAACCTGCCATAACCAGGCTTACTGAAACTTAAAAAAACTTCCCATTTTCCACTTTGAAATTTTTCCCCAAGGAGAAAGAGACTGACAATAAGCCTTAACTTGGGTTTTTGAAGATGCACAGATAAATTCTTAATACATGTAGAGATTGTATACTTTTTTGTTTATAAAGACAGTGGCAATAAAATATAGTAAGCTTTGGAATCAGACAGAACTTGGTTCAAATTCTAGCTTCAGCACTTACTAGCTGTGTGGCCTTCAATAAGTTACTTAACTTCTCTGAGCCTCTGCTTTCTCCTATGTAAAGTAGGGATAACAGCTTCCTCAGAGAGGGTTGTGAGGTTTATACAAGAGAATGTAAGGTAGATGCTTGGAACAGTAGCTAGTAGTAAATAATCAATAAACAGTAGCTGATAGAACAAAAGAAACAAAAGAACTTCAGTTAGTTTATGTAACCTAGCCAGAGTTGGAGCAAGGAGATTCCTTTCTCCTCTAACTATGGTGATGGGAAAATTTATCACCCCAATTGAGACACTTCTGAGAGTGAAGATGAATGGTATCAATAATTACACTAAGATAACAGGTGTAATTTGAACTCCTAATTTAAACTAGGAGTTATGTTCACCCTAAATAGAATCCTATGCCTTTGACTACCAACTCCACTTGAGAAAGGAAACATAAGTTAAAAATGTCCACCTCAATAATGACATCTTGTGGCATGTGATTAAGGGGTGCTCTGTAAACTCCTAGGTTTGCAGGGGTTTAGAGAACAATATAATCATGGTTGAGAGAGTGCTCTGTGGAGCTCGGCTGCCTATGTCAAGTTCTTGCTTAACCACTTCTCATCTGTGTGAAATGCTGGGCAAGCTACTTAACCTCTTTGTGACCTGATTTCCTTACATTTACAATACAAATAATATCTACCTCAGAGGATTAAACAAATTAATACATACGAAATAGTTGAAATAATGCCTGGTATAAAGTAGACACTCAATAAATCCTCACATTTCTATTTGTATTTTTACTATACTATAACCTCTCTCTTTAGAATAGAAAAACATCTTTAGTTAAAGAATAAATTTAGTTAATGGAACTTATTATGGTAATCATTTCACAATATATACATATATCAAATCACCATATTGTACAGTCTAAAGTTAACAAAATGTTGTATGTCAATTCAATGTTATATCTCAACATCTCAATAAAACTGGATAAAAAAATAAGCATTAGTTAAATCCGAGCACAAAATGATGACTGAAGGACGGACATCCTCTGAGTTCTTTCAGTCATACAGGTTTGCCAATGACAGACGGACGTTACCAGTGTTTTCTATGAGTTGTCTACTGCAAAGTAGCACCGTGCTTGAGTTATCAGTGAGGAGGGATTCCCCACATTAATGACCTGCTTTTAGCACAGTACATGCCAGTGACTTACTTCTTCATCCAGACTCCCACCCCAGGGTTGACGGCCCTCGCCAGCTTCCTTTGCTGGGACCGCTGAGGGCTCATGCTTCTCCGAGCTTCCTTCAAGCCCTTCAGTGCCTGCGGACTTCTGGCTAGGCTGCTCCTGAGCTTGCCGTTCTGCTCTTGACCGGCTGAAAGTCCTTTCTGCTTCCTGAAGGTCTGTTAGTGTCACGCCCTGGGAAAATGACACAAGGTCAGGAAGTTTCACCCTAACCATGGAATAACTGTTGATAAATAAGCAGGGAGACTGCCTTAAAGATCTAATAGTATCAAATTCCAAATGAAGCTCTCAAAATGTATGAGGCCATTACAAGCAAGATATACTTAAAATAAACACCTCAGTGTGCAAAGAGCCCCAGCCTGAATCCAGGTATATTTCAGATGTAATACTTTAGCTTTTCCAGTTTGAGTTCCAGAAAATAGGGCAACATTGATGGCTGCCTGTTGTAGATGTACTTCTCTCATACTCTTAGTTCTCAGTACCTTTATTTGAAAGCTCCATACCTCCCAAGAGCAAATGGTTACCAAGAGAAATTCTCTGAATAGTGGATAATAAGAAAAACTTGATTTTACTTATAGAAAGAAAAACCAGGCTCAAAAAGGTGAAAATTCAGAGCCAGGCTAGAACAACAACAAAAACCAACCAACAAAAACGACACCACCTAGGGGTGCCTGGGTGGCTCAGTTGGTTAGGCGACTGCCTTGGGCTCAGGTCATGATCCTGGAGTCCCTGGATCGAGTCCCGCATCGGGCTCCCTGCTCGGC